AACCTTGAACGGTATCAAAAAGGGTGACCGGTAATCACAATAGCAATACCGGCCATCAGACCAGCTACATACTCCTTGTACCCCGAATTTCCATCCATCTTCTCTATTGCTATTGGCTCCAACTCCAGTTGAGCTGGGTTTTTGAAAGGGTTTTAGCTCAGTAAATCCAATAATTTGTTGGCTCTCAAACTAACACCGTGTTTTTAAAAAAAATTGAAGTTATGTTTGGATTAATAAAGTAAGTTGATTTTTAAAGATAGTTGGCCTAACTCAAAAGCTAGCTCGAGGTGTGCAAGTTCATATAAGGAGATCAATTTTCAGAGGCGTATTCAGGAGGGGTTTACCATGTTCACGTAAACTCATGCTCTCCTCCTGAAATAATATATAGTAGTGTTATATTTTTTTAAAAAATATTTAAATATAGATATATAAACTCATAGTTGAAGTATCATACCGTGCGATTATGATTGAGTGCACCTCTCTAAGTGAGGTTAGAAATTTGAATCTTTTATTTTCATTTCTAAAATTGGATAACGTCTCTCTAAATGGTTTGGATAGGTAAAAATAATTTTGGACATATAATTTTAAAAATTCTAATTATTTTTAGTGATAAGAACCTAAATGTTAAACCGATCAAATTTATATCTTAGATTCACCTTTTCGTAATAGTACACCCATCATCTCAAAATCTTAGATATGCCTCTATCAATTTCTCATCCCTTTACCGATGTGGGGACTTCTTAAGAGTAAAGATATGACACTTGACCTAACTCAATCTCAAAAACTAGCTTATGAGGATTGAAGGGAGGTTTGTTCAAATCCATATAAAGAGCCAAATTTCCCATCCCTCTACCGATGTGGGAATTCGTAACATATTTTTGACTTTTTGTGAGTAATTTAAAGTGAAAACGCCTTTTTAAAAGTTTTGAAAATTCTTAAATTCAACTTCGAGATGAATTTAGTTCAACGCATGAAATAAGTGAAAAAATTATATGGTCAAACGTGTCCGATAGTTTCATAAATATGTTTTTAACTTGACATCCAATTTTAATGTGCATAAACCCACAATTAAATTTATAAAATTAAATAAATAGACGCTCGCCGTCTACGGGGGTGATGAATGACAACCAAAAGGAAGTCAAAGGTGGTTATAACTTCATATCTGAGAAAGTTGCAACATTCTTAATCCAAATTGTTTGCGTGGCTGTTGATCAAGAAGTTAAAACCCATCCCTTTTGTCATAGTAATTATACGTCCAAACAATATTACTACTATGAAGAAATTAATTATTTTTTAAAATATTCATCAAAAGTTGAAGTGAAACTTTGATAAAAAGATTTTATCCATAAAGTGAAATTTTCCTTTAGATAATCAAAAGTTGAAGTGAACTTGAGAAAAATATCTTTTAGGCTTTTAAGTGTAGAGAATAGATTCTCATACAAGATTAGCTCCTTTTTCATTCTACTTTTCATAGGGGATTAGTTTGTTCCTTTGTTCCTACAATTAACAAATGCTATATTTTTTTGGGGTAGAGATTAGCAGACTTTATAACACATACAAAATAGGAAATAAAGTTGAACAAATTGGATTGGTTTGCAGCTCAATAAGCAATGACAACTTCTCTTACATAGAGTACTTTTTATTGACATAAAGCAGCAACAAAGTGGGTGCTGTCAATAACACTTCTACTACGCACACTGGCAATGACGGAACCACGATTTTCACTTAAAGGAAATTCAACTTATAAAAGAGTAAACATATGCAGACAAGAGAGGGAGTTGTTTAGATGGTGAACAATCTCCTTCCCTCAAACCCAAAGATTGTGGATTCGAGTCAGTAAGGAAGCAAAAAATGGAAACTCTCACAAGAGAGGGGAAAAAAGAAAAAGAAAAAAAAAAAGGCGGTGCGGGTGGGGGTGAGTCTCTCAATATTATACATACATAAAATATAATTTTAACCTATTTTCGCCCAAAGGAGGTTCGGATGAACCCTCTTTTGGAACCCTAGCTCGTCCACGATACAGTGTTCAAAAAAGTCCAATGGAATCTCGGTCATTTAGATCTTAAGATCACATCAAAAGGCCAAAAGTTGAGTCTTACATTCTGATCTAACGTCTCAGGTTTCTCCTTCCAACTGGCCGCCTGCTAGATCATTCTGCTTCTCCGGCTTGTAAAGGCTTCATCGACTGTTCTAAAAATGAACCAATGTAGACCAAAAAGTGAGATAAAAGCTCACATTTGCCATATGCAGAAATAAAGGATCGGATTAGGTATCACCAGTATCATTCCTACAGATATAGCATCATGGATTTGAATTATATATCTGTGGAAGTTGTAGCTCTATGGATTTGATATCCATCCAAAGCAGGACGGACTCTTTGAGAGTTGTCTTAGTCTTCCAAAGTATATGCACATGGCCACTGAATTCTATGAAATTGACTTTTTTTCATATGATAAGGACAGTATCCCCTACTCATTACCTTCTTAAGTAGCTGAGTTATTCTGTCTATCTCCGCAACCCCTTCAAATAATGATGCCCCAGAAGTTTCCATTGCTCCAGCGAGCATATTGCGGCATTAGGATCTACTGCTTCCAAGGAAATATGTCCAATCCAAGCATCTAGATGAAGATTTCATTTTTCTGCAATTCCACATATTAAAACTTACAGAAGCAGAGAATGAGTAACAAAACAAGCAATGGCTCAAGAGAACTCTTTCTATTTCAAGCTAAAAGATCTAATTAGCATGTAGTGCCTGGTAAATCTTGGACCCGCCAAATAAAACTTAATTTATCTACACCGCGATCCTCACTAATAAACATCCCATTCATTGCACTTCCTGTTCGTTCAACACATTATTAGACTCATAATAATTCTTATGCAGCTTTAAATAACAACTCAATGCTTAATGAAATAGCTATAGGGCCAAAAAGACTGTCCAATTTGGTTTAGTCACCAGTGAATGCATCGGATATGTCCATAATATTGAACTGTTTTTGTCAGTGTAACCTCCCATAGGGTTACCATAACAATACTGTAGAGAATTAGTGTAGCTATGATACCCAAAGTCCACATAATCGTTTGGTATCTTTTTAATGACAACGGAGGCATATGGGTCAACTTGTATGCACCATGATTATGCCACCGACTAATTGACCATCACACTATTATCTAATAATTGTCTGAACAAGCAGCTGCAGAAACCTGAAACCTCTGTGCCCTAGTGAGGAACTGCAACTGTTATAAATGCAAGAATCCCCCATGCAACTACGTAAACATTAACAGCATGCCGCAAATAAAGGATGATCCTCCCACAGCGACGAGGTAGATGTCCTTAGCTGGGCTGATCTATAGTTATCTCTAAACCTCCATGCTCTGGTGCAAAGACACGATCAAAAGCATGCTTGCCTGCTATCCAATTCTGTCACGAACTGCAGTTACTAGTTTCATTTCATATATAACTAGCACTAGCCAATATCTAACCGCTAACACTAAGTTGATTGGAGCAACATCTTAAAAGAACAAATTCCTTTCAAAGCCGGAATGAAAGACGATAAGTACTTCCTGTAATCCTGTTGAAAAAGAACTGAACACTTCGCTAAGTTACTAAACTTAATATTCGTTTTTCTTCAAAAGCACAATCTTCTCCCACTCATATTCCTTTATCTTCTAAAGTATTTTAGTTCCCTAACTTGAAAAGTGAAAACGGCATGGAACAGGCTCTAGTCATGCAGCCTGTTGCGAGCTAATGAGACCTCAATCCCAAAGCCTTTAAAGTATTCTTTTGATAGGTGCCTCTATTTTTATGGGGAATTCACTGCTTATAGATCTCGCTAGTGTCCCCCTCCTACTCCTGCAACCTTCCGACTCATGGAAGTATACAATGACAATGTCAGGGCATGGGTGCTAGATCGTGAGACTACCTACTGAACATCAGATTAAAGCTTCATGGATAATTAGTGGCCTCCTCCATGACCTTTTGGATCTAAAAGCTTCCTCAATGAATGCCAGAGAATGAGCACTAATCTAGTAGTTGACTCTAGCGAAGATGATGACATTAGCAAATTATATTTCCTTACCAAGATTGAATCAAACTATTACTAAGTAAACATAGATGCTTCCAAAATTCTTTCGACCCATGAAGGCAGCAAAAAAAGGTCTTATCTAAGAAGAAGAAATCCATATACAAAATTAACATTTGCTTCTAGCCCTTTAGTAGAAACATAAGTAGTCCACAATGACATGTTTAATTAATTCCTGACTAGTGGCAGCATGTAAAGCAATACTTTTGATGATTCATCTCAAGATTTACCATATTTCTCCAGATACCCCTGCAATCACAAATTAACCAATTGTTAAGTTCAGGGAAGAAAGAGCCTCAACCACAGTCAGCAAGTACTGTTTCAGAGTGTTGACTCACCTCAATCAGCTTAGCTACTTTTGTCTCAGATACAGAGAGATATTGATTGATGGATTCAGTCGTATCAGGAAACTTGATCGGGTGTCAAAGAGTTAATGATCTTTTCTACTGCTTTCTTAACAATCATCTTGTACGCATCCCTCATCAAAAGACCTTCATGCCAAGTTGGCTTAAGCAATTCTTTAACTAATTCCACAAGAGCAGCACGGAAATGCTTCATAACTCCTGACTCATAGTTCACAGATCCATCTCTCCTAAAGTCGGTATGAATTCACAGCTGGGTCCCGAGCTTCTCTAATTTTGATTGTTTCCTCTTTTGGCCTCTGGGATTAACTGATCTTGAGTGCTTTTCTTCTTTTGAAGAGGTATTCATGTTCTCTTGATGGGCTATAGCTCTATCAGCTGTTTTTCTTTCATTAGCAGACAAATCTTTCTCGGCGGTGCTGGTTTGCTCAATGCTGTCACGAATCGGATCATAAAGACTTTCTGGAGGGGGAATAATTTGACTAAGAAAGGTTGATGGACGAAAAGGCGCAGAAGTTTCCCAGTCATTAAAATTCACCTTGGTCTTATAACCACATGAGTGTTCCGTGTCCCCTGATAAATCAGTCCAAGAAAAAGATTCAGTTCCACAACCAGGAAGTGCTGAAGACTTGTTATGCAGAGACATTGACCTAGTTATACAGTCTCGGCTACGGTCTAAAAGCTTCTGATCACCAACAGGGTCTAGGTTTGAAGAGTAAGAAGTGAGATAAGAAGGCCACCTATCCACAGAGCGATTCAAGAATGGCAAATGATGATAATCGGGCATAAGGTGGGTCCTCTTATAACTTGTGCCATCCAAAGCTGAGGCATAAGAGGGACCTTCGGTGTTCAGATACTTGTAAGATGGCAGTACTGAGCTACTTGGATGCATTCCACTACAATAGTTATCTTTATTAAGAGAATTATCTTTGAGTAATGGTGGTGACGAGCTGCCATAACTAGCCAAGTATGATTTATATCCAAAAGTTTCTCTTCCAATGTCTCTAAACGGCATGCTTGACCAATCCTCATCTTTATGCATATGCAAATCATTTTCACTGTTCAACCTTTGATATCCTCCACATTGAACTTCAGATGATGCAAAATCAGAGAAACAATACGATGCTGGTCTCTCGGTGGTATATTTTGAACCTATAACACAGAAGTTACTTTATCAGGAATACTAAAGTTAGGGTTAACCAATTCCAAAAAAATAGTTTGATATTACCTTCACCATTTATGACTTTGTTTTCATCTTTGCAGTATCTAAAACACCATCCTTATTACGGCTAATTACATAATCCCTTACGTGAAGGAACCTACATGAGCTCCTCAACATTACCAGTTTCAAAAAAATAATAGGAACCTACATGAACTCCTGTTGATAAACCAACCTCTAGAATAAAATTCACATCTATCTGCTGGTCGTTTGTTTCCACCTCTAGAATCAGCAGGAGGGGTCAAACTTCTGGCCCAAGTCTCCTCAGCATCCAACCTGGAAAAACCAGACCTTCAAGAGTTCTACTTGAAATTTAACCAAAACAAACTTCCAACAAGGAGATGTTCAAAAGCAGCATGAGATCCTACTTCATAGTATGATTAGAAAGTTGAAAGAGAACCAGTATAATGAAACCTTGATGATGTTTGTTGTAAATCCTGTAACACTTCATGATGACCTCCTTCAGTGAATTCAGCACTTACTTTTTGACCAAACGGCTGGTTTTCAAGGGTTGTTTCCCCATTATCACATTTAAGAGCTTGGAGATCAGAAAGTACAACGGTTCTTTTTCCTGCAAGAGCCCCATCAGGATCCCCGTGAATATCTACAAGTCTTATAACGGGAGATTAGAATGTTCCCCATTTAATTTAACAAGAATTCTCACCATCCAAACTTGAATAATTCTTTCCTCTTCTTTCATCAGAATTAGATATCCTGCAACTGTCATTACCCTCTTCAGTCATAGGGGTATCAGGATTTGCTACAGGTTTGGAGTACAAGATCCTGATCTTAAATGATCTTTAAGACCCAAAGGCTCCAGAATGCGGGTTCCATCTACAAGGAAGAAAGATCAGAGTAAGTCACAGACCAATTCAACATCTTTGTGGTGGATTCCCTGACGATTGTTTATCCAACAACTCTGTGTCTCTGTCTAAGCATGAAACGATTATCTATTCCTAACAGATCTACTAAGGTACATGAAACCTTATTGCTAAATAATTAGGCAAGCACATATGGTGGAATACACCTCAAGGAGATTCTATACTTCATAATTCCAAATTTTCCATATTTAGGGGATGCCAATAGGGCAGTGGGAGTTGGTTTGAGGAAGAGAAGCCTTCCTCCGGTAAAGATATGGCACCTGGGAGTGGGCCTAACTCAACCCCAAAGCTAGCTTATGAGGGAGTATTGCCAAGTTCATATAAGCAGATCACCAGTCCATTCTCCCAACCAATGTGGACTCAAACCACTCTAACACCCCCCTTCCCGCCCAGGCCAAATTGGAGCATGGACTAGGAGTCCAGACAGGGATGGATCTGGCTTTGATACCACATAAAGATATGATGCTTAGGCCTAACTCAACCCAAAAGCTAGCTCATGAGGGGAGGATCTAAGTTGCTTCGATTCATCACTTTCGGTGCCGCACCCATGTCGACACGACGTTGGTGTGGGTGTGGGATCCGTATCCGATCTGGTCAACCGGTTTTGGATACTTTGACCAAATTCAAGGGAGAAAGTTTGGACAAATTTAATGATTTTTGTTATCAAAACAAAACCTAAGGTGAAATTGAAGAAAACGAAATATCTTGTATATATAAATTTCTACTGCCACTCTCTTTCCTTTTATCTCCTTCCAAGATTCTCCTTTTGATCATTATTTTTTACTTGAGTTCTCCACACCATCTCATAATTTAGGTTTTATAACTCTATTTTTAGCCGAGTACCCTCACCCGTATCCACACATGGATCTGTATCACCGAATCTTAAAATTTAGGTCATAGAGGATCCAACCTCTAGATCTGCACCCGAGTCCAAGCAACTTGGGAGGATTGCCTAAGTCCATATAGCAGATTGTCGGTCCAATCCCCAATCAATGTGGGACTCTAACACCTTCCTTATTCCACCAAGTTATGTTAGATTTCTTCTCATTTTTAATCTAGAAGGATAATTTTCCAAAATCCTCAAATCAAAGCAGTCATGATTAAAGTCACCAGCCATGATGAGTTCTCCGGCAATAAGAAGGTTGGTTGTGCTTATAATAACTACTTTGGTCTTTGAGCCATCTTTCCCTTTTAAGAAATAGTTCTATTTTTTCAAAAGGAATTTTAAGGAATCATTCTATTAGCCATCCAAGAGTGCGGCTTAATGATCAATCAAGTGGGTTGAGAACCATAAGGTTTATGGTTCAAACTGAGGGTGATTTATTTCCATCATTCCAATCCTTGGTGAACAAAGTTACCAGGTACCTGTGCTGGTGGAAGATAGTAGTAACTGTGGAATTAGTCGAGGTGTGCACAAGTTGGTCGAACACCATGATTAAAAAAGGAATAGTTCTATTAATATGACTGAAAATTCCCGATGTACAAGTGATATGCAAAAAGTAGAGAACCTACACACGTTGGTCTCTACAACTAGAACACAATCATCTATGCTTAATGTCACGACCCAAGCCTAGGCCTAGACGTGACCGGCGAATGGGGAACCCGAAGGAACCCCAAACAAGCCTCATAGCATATCATTACACATCCTTGGTCGCGGAAGCAATTAAAATGACCATAAGCGATAAGCATAATCAAGGGGGAATCGGGACTAAGGGAGCAAGAGAAAGAGAGAATGATACATAAATACCATAGGTGAGTCAAGCTCAAGCATAATACACAACTTGTCTAACACCACCTCTAAACATGGGTACTTAGCGGGGGCCAAGCCAAATTACCGGCTCACCCTCATAGTCAATACATAACTAAAAAGGAAAGTCTTATACATAACAAGAGATCATAAGCAACGTCCCCGGAATGGAGGATTTGAGAGATGTGTATTGGTGGGGAGGCATGAAGAAGGACATTGCCAAATTCGTCTCCGGTTGTCATAGTTGTCAACAAGTCAAGGCCGAACATCAAAGGTCGGGTGATCTAACCCAAGACATAGAGATTTCTACTTGGAAGTGGGAAGAAATTAATATGGATTTTGTAGTTGGTTTACCCAAGACTAGAAAAGGTTTTGATTCTATTTGGGTGGTGGTTGATAGGATGACAAAATCGGCTCATTTTCTACCGGTAAAGACAACATATGAGGCGGAAGATTATGCAAGGTTATATATTCATGACTTGGTAAGGTTGCATGAGATTCCTCTATCCATCATATCGGACCGTGATACTCAATTTACTTCACACTTTTGGAAGTCCTTTCAAAGGGGTCTAGGTACGAGAGTTAAGCTTACTACGGCCTTTCACCCGCAAACGGATGGACAAGCCGAAAGGACTATCCAAACACTTGAGGATATGCTTAGGGCTTGTGTATTAGAGCTTAAGGGTAGTTGGGATGATCATCTTCTATTGATTGAGTTTGCCTATAACAATAGCTATCATTCTAGCATCGGTATGGCTCCTTTTGAGGCTCTCTATGGGAGGCGTTGTAGATCACCGGTTGGGTGGTTTGAGGTTGGTGAGGTGGCCTTGTTAGGACCAGATCTAGTTATGGAGGCTCTTGAGAAGGTTAGGATGATTAGAGAAAGGTTGAAGATGGCCCAAAGTCGCCAAAAGTCCTATGCCGATGTGAGGAGAAGGGGATCTTGAATTCCGAGTTGGTGATTGGGTCTATTTGAAGGTGTCACCCATGAAGGGTGTGGTTCGTTTTGGTAAGAAGGGCAAGTTGAGCCCAAGATACGTGGGTCTTTATAAGGTGATGAGGAGAATTGGCAAGGTAGCTTATGAGTTGGAATTGCCTAGCAAAATGGATTTGGTTCATCCGGTATTTCATGTGACTATGTTGAGGAAGTGTGTGGGGGATCCGAATGCCATTGTGCCTCTTGATGTTGTGGGTGTTGTTGAAGATAATTTGACCTATGAAGAGGTTCCAGTCCAGATTTTAGATAGACAAGTGAAGAGGTTGAGAAACAAAGATGTGGCTTCCGTTAAAGTCCTTTGGAGAAATCAACAAGTTGAAAGTGCTACTTGGGAGGCCGAAGCGGACATGCAAAGCGATATCCTTATCTTTTCCACTCCACTCAAGCCTAAGGTATTGATCTAAGCCCTTTATAAAATCTCAGGTCTTAAGTTCAACCCCCATGTCATTGCATACATTCATGTTTAAGTTGACAAGTTCATTGTGGTTTTACAACTATGTTGAGGTTTTTGAAATAAGGTGTAAGTGCATTGTTGCATCCTTATGTGGGCTGAAATTGCCATGTTTGTGTCTCTCATGTACGTTTCTTTAACATTCGGGGACGAATGTTCCCAAGGGGGAGATATTGAAACGACCCCAAAAATGCCCGAAAATGTGCTTCGGAAACACCTATAATGTATTTCCATATACCTCAAAATCTGTGCATGATTTCAGAAATTCGACTTCATATTCTTATTCATGGGGTCAAATTGAGTGGGAAATGGGTCTAACCCGAATTTTAGAGCAACCGTATCAAAATTCAAAATCGCAAAAAATGCGATTTAGAGGGTCAACTTTAAAGGGACATATCTCTTAGCACACAAGGAACTGGGAAGGGCCACAACCTATTAAATTAAAGCTCTTTGAGTTAGCTTTCCAACGCACTTGGTTTCACCTCATTTTGAGTTAGGATGAGGGAGTTATGACCATTTTCGTGAAACCTGTCTGTGCAGATTTGCAATTTCCAGTGAGCTATTATTTTTTTTTTGAGGCTAAGTGTTGGGGACGTTTTTTATAAAAAGGGAATATGTCTCATACTTAGTCATTTTTAACTTCAAAAACACTCTCTAAGCCCTCTCCAAAAATTCCACCAAGATCCTCAACCAAATTCAAAGATCTCAAGCTCTAATTTCGGATTCAAGACTCAATCTCAAGCTTCAATTCTCCATTCCAATCTTCATCAAGGATTCTCCAAAGTTGAGGTATGTGGGTTTGATTGTGGAAATCTTCCTTTCCACAAGTCCAACCATTTATCCTCTATTACTACTTCAAGTTTATGGATCCTTATGGTTATTTATGAACTCTTGAAGTATGGAATTACTACTACACACCCTATTATGGTCTATTTTGCATATTATCATGAAATGGAATTATTATGTGATGCTTATGGTTTTCATGCTTCCACGATCAAATTATGAAGGTTGATATATATATATATATGTATGTTGTTGGTGGGCTGATTTATATGGATTTTGAAATTGGTTGGACTTAGTACTCTTGAAATACATGATTTTATTTACATGAACAGTAGCCCACCATGTGTTTGATAAAATGTCCATTTATAGAATTCTTAGGAAATGGAAGGTCCAATATACGTCCTATGAGTCGGATGGTTGTATAATTACTGAAATGATGATAAATAGACACATGTATATGATTTTCTCTATATAAGTGTTGTGAGTCGACCAAGCCTAGCTCGGGGGGTTGTAGGCCCGGGTAACCGTATCGAGGGGTTGGTACCTTGGTTGCCTAGTACGGGGGTAATAGGCCCGTATAACCATATTGAGGGGTTTGTACCTTGGTCCCTAACTCGGGGGTGGTAGGCCCGGGTAACCACATTGAGGGGTTTGTACCTCTTTCGCCTCTCCAAGGGGGTGATAGGCCTTGGAAATACTATATTGATGGTCACTCGCCACACATGTACTACGCCCCACTAAATATGATTTTTATGTAAGCATCATTATACATATCATCTCATTAATATGCTATCTATCGGGTATGATTATGCATTTTGCCTATGATGTCCATCTATTGTTGCATTGCATTGCATCCCATATACTTAGTACATTCAAACGTACTAATGCATACTCTATGCCTACATGATGTCACCATGTAGGGACCGGAGCACCGCTTGACCATCCTCTCCGCGTGGCTAATACGATTTTCTATCGAGGTTTTTGGCGAGTCCTCCATTTCGGGGATGTTGCTTATGATCTCTTGCTATGTATAAGACTTTTCCTTTTTAGTTATGTATTGACTATGAGGGTGAGCCCGGTAGTTTGTCTTGGCCCCCGCTAAGTACTCATGTTTAGAGGGGGTGTTAGACAAGTTGTGTATTATGCTTGAGCTTGACTCACCTATGGTATTTATGTATCATTCTCTTTTTCTCTTGCTCCCTTAGTCCCAAT